CAGAGTTGTCTTAAAATTTAAAACTTCTATCAAGCTTCTTGCATATATTACCTGAAAGATTTGGGAGAATTTTCCAAAGACTAACTCTGGCCCTATGCAATTGAAGCATTGCTTCTTTTCCACTGTCCACATATTTCCAATACTAGGCAAATTGTGATTCCTTTGCATATTGTCACACCGCTTCAGCACTGAACATTTGTGGCACAATGTCAGGTGACTTTATCACAGTGGGTACTAGACCACTGGAAACTATTTCTACTTTAGCATAGTCAGGATAGCTAACAATAATTTACTCATATATGGAAGTGATTGTGAATCACATAAATATGTTCCTTTAAACCCAACCTAACTATATCTCCAACTCTGTTTCCTCTTAGTTTCCCAAAAATGTTCACAGACACACAAATGCCCCCACCACCATGAAATATCTTATATTTACAAATTTTCCTAAAATATATGACCATGAAAACACAGCTTTTTAAAAAATTCAAAGCCTTTACTTTTTAGAGCAGTTTTAGGTTTGGGGAGATTTCACAGAAAGTACAGAGTTCCCGGGCTTCCCTGGTGGCGCAGTGCTTGAGAGTCCGCCTGCCGATGCAGGAGACGCGGGTTCGTGCCCCGTTTCGGGAAGATCCCACATGCCGCGGAGCGGCTGGGCCCGTGAGCCATGGCCACTGAGCCTGCGCGTCCGGAGCCTGTGCTCCACAAATGGGAGAGGCCACAACAGTGAGAGGCCCGCATAACGCAAGAAAAAAAAAAAAAAAAAAAAAAAAAAAAAAAGAAAGTACAGAGTTCCCATATGCTCCTTTTCTCCCCTGAACGTAGTTTCCCTATTATAAACATTTTGCATTAGTGTAGGACATTTGTTACCACCGATGAAACAATATTAATAGATTATTACTACTAAACTCCATAGCTGACATTTGGATTTACTCTTTTTTTGTATTTCTATGGGTTTTGACAAATGTATAATATTTAATATCTACCATTACAGTATCATACAGCGTAGTGTCACTTCTCTTAAAATGCCCTGTGCTCCACCTATTCATCCCTAACCCCACTCCTTGAACTCTTAGAATCTCTGATATTTTTAATTGTCTCTATAGTTCTGCTCTTTCCAGAATGTCATATACTGGTTAACATCTTAGAGTATGTAGCTTTTTCATTGACTTCTTTCACTTATCATTATGCATTTAAGGTTCCTCCATGTCTTTTTTCGTTGTTGTTAATACTCCATTTTATGTCTGTACCACAGTTTGTTTATTCATTCACCTATTAAAGGACATCTTGGTTGTTTCCCATTTTGACAATTATGAATAAAGCTTCTACAAACATTTGTGTGCAGGTTTTTGTGTGGGCGTTAGTTTTCAGCTCACTGGGACAAATGCCTAGTGAGGAAATTAGTATTTAGATTAGGATCTAGACACAGATCTTACACCTTTCACAAAAATTAACTGAAAAGTAATCATTTACCTAAATGTAAAACAAAATTATACAAGTTCTAGAAGATAACATAGGAGAAAATCTAGGTGACCTTGAGTTTGGTGATGACTTTTTATATACAGCATCATATAGCACAATCCATGAAAGAAAAATTGATAAATTGGACTTCTTTAAAATTAAAACTTCTGCTCTGTGAAAGACACTGTTATAGGATTGAAAAGATAAGCCACAGACTGGGAGAATACTCTTGCAAAATATACCTAATGAAGGGCTGTTATCCAAAATACACAAAGAACTCTTAAAATTCAACAATAAGAAAACAAATAATCCAATTACAAAATAGGAAAAGATCTGAACAGACATCGCAGCAAAGAAGATATACAGGTGGTAAATGAGCATATGAAAAGATGCTCAACATCATGTGTCATTAGGAAATTGCAAATTAAAACAATGAGATACCATTATACATCTATTAGAATGGCTAAAATCCAAAACATTGACATCACCAAATGTTGGCAAGGATGTGGTACAACAGGAACTCTCATTCTTTGCTCCCAGAATGCAAAATGGTACAGCCACTTTGGAAGATAGTCTGATAGTTTCTAACAAAGGTAAGCATAAGCTTACCATATAATCCAGCAATTATACTCATAGTATTTACCCAAATGAGTCTTTACTTTTTAATCAGCTCTGCAAGATTCTGCCTCAGGAAATTCCTTCAGGCTAGTCTTCCTTGCATTTAATGTTCTCAAGACATGAGTTCAGCTGTGTTGTCTTGGCATCCTCTTCCTATCTGAATATATTTGGATATAGTTTCAGATTGTTTATTTTAACCTTGACTTGGCAACTTCTTAGGATGTTACTTCTGGCAATTGCCCATCAGATTCACATTCAACAAACAAAGGCAATATTCACTATCCCCAAGTGGACCCTCTGGACTTGCCAGCCTGGTGCATGGTGCTCCTTACCTTTGTCTGTCCAGGAATGGTTATCTTAATTAATAATTGTTAGAAACCTCTGCAATCTTTAAAGTTTAGCTCTAAGAAATAGTCACTGTCTAAACTTCCTCAATTTTTATCCATTTCCCTATCCACTGAAACTGACCTCAAGAAAGTTACAGATAAATATTAATTTGTAACTGTAATGGCAAATTTTTAGTATTAATCTTGTTTGACTCCTTTATAGCATATAAACTGGTAACTGAACCCGTCTTAAAATTCTTTTCCTTTGGTTTCTTTAAAAATTTTTTAAATTGTGAAATGAAGCATACATCCAGAAAAGTGCAGAAAGCTTATGTACAAAGTTTAATAAACATTTTTAAAGCAAAAACTTGTATTATGAAACAGAACACTTTTAGCACCCCAGAAGCTCCTCATGTGCCTCTCCTCAGTCACAATGCCTATTCTTCTTTATGCCAGAAATAACAAATATTCTGACTTTTGTATTGAGTATACATGCTATGCATGCATCCTTGAACAATGTATTTTAGTTATTCTATTTTTAAATCTTTATAAAAGGAATTACATATATTTTTGCGCAATATTATGTTTGTGACTATATATATATATATATATATATATATATATATATGTATGTATGTATCACATCTCTAGACATTCATCTGTTGATGGACACATAGGTTGCTTCCGTATCTTGGCAATTGTAAATAATGCTGGTTATTTTTCTTTCAAGCTTTTCTGTATATATGTTAGATTTTCCAAGTTCTGTTAAAATAATGATGCTGGAAATTTGCAATTTTGTCGAGTATATAGATTAATGCATGTCTGTTTGGGGGATGGGTTCACATCTTCTCGCTGATTCTAATACATATGTCTAGAGGACACCCAGAGCAATATATCACACTGTGAATGCCACTTTTTACATAAGTTGGAAAGGCTGAAACCTGCTGATTTGTAAGAATAAAATAATGCCTTATTCATATTTGTATCCCTGATATCTAGCACAGTACCACTCAATAAGTTGTTCATTTCAGTAAACATTTGTTAGGCATCTGCTGTATGCCAGGCACTGTGCAAGGTGCTAAAGATACAAAATGACTAACACATGGGCCTTCCCTAAGGAAGATTCATAAGAAAACTACTTGTAAGCAAACAACTACAATCAAGGGTTATTGTGCTTTGGTGTATATGATTAAGCACTAGAGGATCCTAAGCAGGAAAATGGTCATCTGTATTTAGACTGAGGAGGTATGCAAAATTTCATAGATCACATAATCCTTGAACTGAGACTTGGGAGGTGAGTTAGGTATGCATCAGATAATCAGGAAAGTCAAAGATACTTCATACAGTTGGAAGAATAAGAGCAGCGTTAAGTAAAAGAGAGACTTGAGAACACCTGGCAATTCAGGAATGAAAGGGAACACACTGGCTTACAATATGTGTGGCAGAGTGGATTTAGAAGCCTGCCTGGAGAAATAGGCAGATGTCAGATATTGTTTGGCTTTATAGAGTAAAAAACTTTATCCTATAGGCAACAGAAAGCAATGAATGAGTTTAAAGCAGGGAAGTAATGTAGGCAGATTTGCATTTTGGAAAAAAAAGCCATCAATATTCAGGATGGATTAAGTGGGGCAAGAATGGAATTAGAAAAGATAATGCTAGGGAGAATGTTCTAATAGTCCTGGTGAGATGTGAGGGTCCAAATTAAGACAACAGCAGTAGGGATATTGAAGAGAGCATGGATTCAAGAGACGTAAAATAGGACCTCGTGACAAATTGGATGTGCTTTGAGATGACTGGATAGATGACACATTTACTGAGACAGATGATAGTTACTTGGGGGACAAAGAAAAGGATGAGTTCCATGGACATGTGGACTTTGACATGCCTGTGGGAAGGATGTTTAGGTAAATATGTCTAATAGGTGGATGGATGGATATATAAGTCTGCAGTCTAAGAAAAAGATCTGGTGTCAAGTCCTAGGGATCCCAATCTTGAATGAATAAATAGAAGAAAAGCCAGAAAAGGAAACATATATAGAAGAAAAAAAAAAAAAAAAGGAGGAGGAGGACCAAGAGAAATTTAAATCATAGAGAAAAGAATGGTCAATGGTATCAAGTGCCACAGAAAGAAACAGTAGAGCTGAAAAAAACTCCCATGGGATTTGGCATTACTAGGACCTTGGTGAAATCTGTTTTATTAGAGATGGTGATTGTTTCACAGAGTTAACCGTGAAGGGAAGGGAACTGGTGAGATAACTAGTTAGTTGAGTGTAGGGAGAAAATAGAACAAAAAAAAATGTTAATGAAAAAAGTATAATTATAAACTATGGGGAATAGACACAGAGAGATTATTATGATAGCTAATAAATTAATGGTGGTTATAAAATATAGTATAACCAAATAATTAGTATTGTAGATGTTTCTCATAGACCTGTGTACCAAAGTACAGTGCCAAGCCCCAAGTTTATCACATTATAAATACTCAAAAACTATTTCCTGAATTGAATTGGATTGGGTTTCCATTAACATGTAAGTAATCATCTTCTGTGCCTTAGAATTATTTAGAGTTTAATTTGTGTATTTACTTCTGATGAAGGTCATCGGACACTATTTATTGGAGTTCATGTGCCCCTGGGAGGAAGAAAAAGCCATCGACGTCACAGGCATCGTGGTCATAAACACAGAAAGAGAGACAGAGAGAGAGATTCGGGACTAGAGGATGGCAGGGAGTCACCTTCCTTTGGTAAGAATGTCTCTTTGTTTTACTTAAATTTATGATTGTAATATTATACTTGTTTGTACAATCCATAATTAGCAGTAATACCTCACTCATAAAGTTGTTTATACCTTCATAAAAGATTTGGGCAGATACCTCACTCATAAAGTTGTTTATAACTTTATAAAAGATTTGGTCAGATTGGGGAGAAGTGGAAGAGAGAATGTTTAATCTTTATTTTTCTCTTGTGCATCTGCTTTGTGAAGGTGAGGACTGGGTTAGTTTTGTGATGGAGGAAATACACTTAAGTAGTAGAACTTAGTTGTATTAACTCTTGATAATTTGTACAAATAATAGTCATTGCTCTAAGTAGTTTGAAAATCCAAGGGGAAATGCCTTTATTAAGTTCCCAGTTACACTATTGTAGATGCTCTCTGAATTTCACTCTTAGGATGTGAACTTTCTACTGTTTTGAATATTCTTCCTTTAAAAGTATACAATTGACCCTTGAACAACACAGGTTTGAGGTGGGAGGGTCTACTTATACATGAATTGTTTCAATAGTAAATACTACAGCACTACATTATCCGTGGTTGGTTGAATCCATGGATGGTAGAACCAGATACAACTGACTATAAATTATATGTGGATTTTCAGCTGTGAGGAGGGTCAGTGCCCCTAATCGCCACATTGTTCAAGCATCAACTATATATAGAATATCAAAGTATAGTGATATGGAAGTTGTTAACAATTCCTGAGTGCCGTGAGAGCCTATGTACATGACATAATTAAGAGCCTGACTTTCAGTTTCCTGACCTTCCCACATCCTATGACCTCCTTCACTGCACCTTGTTCACTTACTCATTCATTTTGCTCTCTGACCACAGCTTCACTCCTTACTTGCTTGTTCAACTACTTGACCTCTCTACTTTTTTTTCTATCCATATTATCTTTATTTCCTGATCCTATTCTGATTTCATATCCTGTAATTTTAGTAGTACTTTTGCTAATATTCTAAATACCTTAATTTCCCTGTTTTAGTTTTATTCATACCTTCACCCCCATTTTAAAAACCAGATTTATGTTAGGTTCTTCCATGTCCCTACTTTCTCCCTGCCTTCCCAAGTAGGCATGCTCTGCAGGACATAGTCATTCAACAGGGCAGGTTGTAACCATTTAAGTTCATTACTCAAATAGGAATTCCCTGGCAGTCCAGTGGTTAGGACTTGGCACTTTCACTCCCAGGGCCGGGTTCGATCCTTGGTCAGAGAACTAATATCCCTCAAGCCTCATGTTGTGGCCAAGAAAGAAAAAAAAACAACCCAAAAAGCAAATAAATAAATTCATTACTCAAGTGGACCTTCAACACCTCCTCCCAATTCTATTGAACGTTTTCAATTTTTGAAATAAGTATTTTTCAATCTTCTTCACCATTCTCCAACACCCCCCTTTTCACAGTCACCTAGCAGATGCTTTCTACTTCAAAAGGAAAATATGTCACCAGGAAGAATTCACTCAACTTCCCTCCTGTTAAACATACAAACATAAACATATGCCTACATCTGCAACTGTTTTTTCCTCATAATGCAATAAGGAAGTTTTCTTTTCAATTATGTTTATCTCCTATTCCCTCCCACCTTGAAATTTACACAATTTATAATCTAGTTGACTTCTTCTCAACTGGATTATTCTCATCATCTATCCTTCCAACTGCCTCAAACCCACATTTCCCCATTCAGTTGTATTCAGATATAAGGTAAGTTAGCATATGAAGTTTGGGGGAACAATTTTACTTTTAATACTCTGTAGACATTGCTTTATTTAATATCTGGTTTTGCTAAGTATTGAAGAGAAATTTGTAGTCTCTCTGTTTTTTCATTTTTTAAGTTTATGTCTTTTAAGCTTAAATGCTTATAGACAATTTTTTGTGTCCCTTTATTTAAGAAAACTTGCTAAGATAGGCCTAATGGTGAGTATGCTAAAAAGCATTTCCAGTCTGCATACACTGATATTTTTCCGCTGAGAGAATATTTTCCTATCTTATCTGATTCTGTTCTACTTACTTTGGTCTCTTCTTTGTGAATTATATCTGCATGTTGGATTTATGATACCTGCTTGTTGTCCTTTTTTTTGGTAGCTTAGTCTCTCATTATTCATTTGATTACCTGCAGTATCAGTTCTGCATTTTACTACTTCTATTAGGGGTTTTGATTTTGCTGTTGCATCTTTAGTTTTAAGTTTCTTTCTTATCTCATCTGATTTTCTTTACATTTCCTCCTGTCCTTTCCTAATTAGTATTTGTTTTTCCTGCTTGAGAGAGTCTGTGTTTTTAGTCTATTGATGATCCCCAGTAGTTCTGGACATTTTCTTTTGATTCTGAAGTAGATAATTTTCAGAGCTATCATCTTCTTTTGGGCCATCAAGATTATTTTGACTTTCCTTTGATTTATAGTATTTTTACAGGCTGCCAGTTTTTTTTCTTTCTACTCACCATTTTCCAAGACAAAATATATCCATACTATGTATGTCCAGCTGTATCCTAAGGTGGCTTAGAGAGGCACTGCCATTAGTGTGCTCTTTGTCTCCATCGCTGTGTATAATTATGGGCATCAAACTTCCCCAAATACCATGTACTTCTGCCAGAGGTAGAATGATTGATAGGAGTGTGTAAAGAAAAGTACTCTGGGTATCCTGCACCAGCATGATAGAAGGATGATCATCTCTGAGTCAGTGGGCAGAAGGGGAGGTGTGAAAGTGTCCCCCACATTTTCAGGGTTTTTTGTTTCATGAAGTAGAGTCTGGGAGTATAACAAAGAGACAACTGGGTAGATTTCTCTTACTCCAGCTTCATCTGTTTATAGTTAGGAGAGATTCCCTCTTAGACTCCGGGAATATCTGTTGGAATAAGTTTAATGGTTACTTTGAGTTTCTTAAATACTTCTAATATAAGCGGCATTCACATTAACTTAGAAATATTTAGTAAACAAACAAAAATAAGCTTGTTCCTTCTGCCTCTGTCATGTTATTCTTTTTTTCCATAGCTGGATACATTATGTCAGTTTTTCTAGAACAGTGGTTCTCAACCTTGGCTACACTTGGGAGATTTAAAAACATTTTGATGGTGAAATCCCATACCAGTCAGAATCTCTGTGGGTGGGACCCAAGCATAGGTATTTTTAAAAAATACGCCAGGGCTTCCCTGGTGGGGCAGTGGTTGAGAATCTGCCTGCTAATGCAGGGGACACGGGTTCGAGCCCTGGTATGGGAGGATCCAACATGCCGCGGAGCACCTAGGCCTGTGAGCCACAACTACTGAGCCTGCACGTCTGGAACCTGTGCTCCGCAACAAGAGAGGCCGTGACACTGAGAGGCCCGCGCAGCGCGATGAAGAGTGGCCCCCGCTTGCCACAACTAGAGAAAGCCCTCACACAGAAACGAAGACCCAACACAGCAAAAATAAATAAAATAAATAAATAAACTCCTACCCCCAACATCTTCTTTAAAAAAAAAAAAAATACCCCAGGTGATTCAAATGTGCAACCAAGGTTGAGATCTAGTGTTCTAGAAACTTTGCTATTGGAAGTGTGGACCATCACAAAGCTATGAGACTAGGTATCAATTACAGGAAAAAAACTGTAAAAAATACAAACACATAGAGTCTAAACAATATGCTACTAAATAGCCAAGAGATCACTGAAGAAATCAAAGAGAAAATCAAAAAAACCTAGAAACAAATGGCATTGAAAGCACAATGACCCAAAACCTATGGGGTGCAGCAAAAGCAGTTTAAGAGGGAAGTTTATAGCAATACAATCCTACCTCAAGAAACAAGAAACATGTCAAATAAACAACCTAACTGTACATCTAAAGCAGTTAGAGAAAGAACAACAAAAAACCCTAGAATTAGCAGAAGGAAAGAAATCATAAAGATCAGATCAGAAATAAATGAAAAAGACATGAAGAAACAGTAGCAAAGAGCAATAAAACTAAAAGCTGGGTCTTTGTGAAGATAAACAAAATTGATAAAGCATTAGCCAGACTCATCAAGAAAAAAAGGGAGAAGTCTCAACTCAACAGAATTAGAAATGAAAAAGGAGAAGTAACAACTGACACTGCAGAAATGCAAAGGATCATGAGAGATTACTACAAGCAACTCTATGCCAATAAAATGGACAACCTGGAAGAAATGGAAAAATTCTTAGAAATGCACAACCTGCCAAGACTGAATCAGGAAGAAATAGAAAATATGAACAGACCAATCATAAGCATTGAAATTGAAACTGTAATTAAAAATCTTCCAACAAACAAAAACCCAGGACAAGATGGCTTCACAGGCGAATTCTATCAAAAATTTACAGAAGAGCTAAAGCCTATCCTTTGCAAACTCTTCCAAAATATAGCAGAGGAAGGAACACTCCCAAACTCATTCTGTGAGGCTACCATCAGCCTGATACCAAAACCAGACAAAGATGTCACAAAAAAAGAAAACTACAGGCCAATATCTCTGATGAACATAGATGCAAAAATCCTCAACAAAATACTAGCAAACAGAATCGAACAGCACATTAAAAGGATCATACACCATGATCAAGTGGGGTTTATTCCAGGAATGCAAGGATTCTTCAATTTATGCAAATCAATCAGTGTGATACACCGTATTAACAAATTGAAGGATAAAAACCATATGATAATCTCAATAGATGCAGAGAAAGCTTTTGACAAAATTCAACACCCATTTATGGTAAAAACTCTCCAGGCATAGAGGGACCCTACCTCAACATAATAAAGGCCATATATGACAAACCCATAGACAACATTTCTCTCTATGGCGAAAAACTGAAACCATTTCCTTTAAGATAAGGAACAAGACAAGGTTGCCCACTCTCACCACAGTTATTCAACATAGTTTTGGAAGTTTTAGCCACAGCAATCAGAGAAGAAAAAGAAACAAAAGGAATCCAAATCAGAAAAGAAGAAGTAAAGCTGTCACTGTTTGCAGATGACATGATGCTATACATAGAGAATCC